GTGTGGCCGTGTTCTGGAAGTTTTGTTTCCTAACGTTTCGCCAGCATCTGTGACCAGCATCGTCAGAGAGCAGGAGCACAGACAGGAGCAGAAAAAACTGGGCACACAGTGCAGAAGACCCACACCAGCCTACTATCTTTTGTATTTGTTTTTTTCAGATATTCAGTAACATTGGTAATAAATCAGAGCCTTAGAGCTCTATACTACTCTTGATCCTAGTTTAGGTTAACTGTATAATATGGAGTAACTCAGAGTCTCAAACCTTCTGACTCTCTGCCATAAGGCATGTGACAACATAAGCAGCGACTGAATCATACTGTTACAGATTCAGACATTGTGGAGAGGATCATTGTAGTCATATAAGGTCTTTGTGCTTAAAGGAAGTCAGCCAATTTGCTCAAATATATCAGAAAGTAGGTTTGCTTCAGTAAGGATTTGTCTTACTGTAGTCACCCTTTGTGGCTGGAGGTGAAAGTTAACCAAGTCCCTTATTTTTTTTTTCTTTGCACATGAAGCCAATTAGACCAAATAACTGGAGTAATGTTCTGCAATCACTTCTGGATGGCAGTACAGCATAAGGTTTCAAAGAAGTGTAGAGTTTTAGTTTGTGGAAAGAAAAGAAAAGGAGCCTCAAGCTAAATTCTCCCCAACAGATCCTTTTCCAGAATTCCCCAATTTGCCTTAAACATTTGTTACAAATTTAGGTTCAATGTAGATCCAACTGATGTTAGTTTTTTTGCTAATCTGTAGTGCAATGCATTTAGAATATTCAGGGAGGAGGGGGTGATCATTCAACAGACCGCTCATAAAGGTATGAATTCCAAGATACTTGTTAGGAAAACTATTTGTCTTTCTCTAGGTAGACCTTTTGCTGATGTTAGCTGAAAGCAGAGAATGGGAGGAAAGTTAAATAAAAAACAAGATTCTAGGAAAACGCTAAAAGACAGGGAGGAAAAACAGTCCAACGTTCTCTGGCAAAAAAAAACCCAAACCAAAACACTGAAGATTTGGCTAGAAATGTATGCAGCAGCTAAGGGGAAACATGCAATTTAAAACACATGTCTCAGTGTAGGAGCCCTTGCTTGCAATGCCAGCTGTCATGTAGTAAAGAGGCCTCTTGGTCTAAAGCAGCATTCTTCAGCCTCGGTAACTTTTAAGATGTGTGGACTTCAACTCCCAGAATCCCCCAGCCAGCCTGCTGAAGTTGAAGTCCCCACATCTTAAAGTTACTGCTCTAGAACACAACTGCCAAACAGCTTTTGCTGGGGCCAGGCACAACAAGCTAGCATAATGCCATTCGCTTTACAAAAACACTGAACAATATCTGAAAAAAACATTAACACAAAGAATAATTTCCCTTTCTTTCTGTAAGTATTTGGACTTGATCCCTTTCCTGAAAATAACATCGGCCCCTTCTTGAGTGTGCGTATCACTGAGAGACAGCACTTTAAAACAGTGGGGTAAAGTACTCTGAAGCCATAGTAGAAGCACCCCAGTAAAGATCTGAATGTATGCATATGACCTCAACCTGCCAATTTATAGCCCAGTGCTGCTGCTTTAGGAATTAGAAGCCAAAATAATAACCCCATAATTCAGGTTATTAGGGCAGGACAGGCGTTCTGGCATACATACGTGCAAAAACAGATACAAAAACATCTGTACAATTTTTAGCTAATAGAGCTTTCCTTATTTTCCCAAATGAGGCCTATTCTCAAACCACTTCCCACAATAGACTAGCTTTGTTCAAAGGGGTACACTTAAGAAAGGCTCCATTAAACTAGCTAGCCAGACCATGTTGTGCTCCTGCACATAATGTGAGGGGATGAACAATGTGCTCCCCACATCCAATTGTTCAGTATAAGCAACTGGCAGTTTTCATTAAAGAATGTCACTCTCAGACTCCATCAGGAACCACTAGACAGTAATCTTCCCCTGGGCTGTATGATCCTGTCACCCATTTCCTCTTTCTTTAGATTTTTGGCAGCAAAGAAAGGGGAGACTATAACCTGTATGTGTATGCATGAAAAACTTGCCTTAACTTTTTGCTGGAATAAATATCATAGAAAAGAAACCATGCTTGCTATCACTGTTTCATCCCACATGCAAGCTACACAGCTCGATCAGAGGAGACTGCAGCCCTCAGACAGCTCACCTAACAATCTCCATGTCTTCGTGCAAATTAAAAGAAAATGCAGAGCCAAAAAGACTTTGAGAAAATCAGTTCTGTATCACATTCTACTGATAGCTGTGGGGATGCGTAGAAATTATAAACCCGAGAAAATGTCTATATAAAGAGCCTTGATGGGATCATTTCTCTAGAAAAACTATTTTTCCCATGTAGTGGACTATATACTTTGCTGGCAGAGGTTCAGTCCTGAAATTCACAGCTAAGTTCCAGATTGAAGATCCAGAGAACAACTGTCAATAAAAACTGAATGTATTAAATCTAGATTGGCCACTGGTTAAACTTTGTAAACTAGGTAGCTTTCTTTTGGGCAAAGAAACCACTAGAATTATTTAACTCAGATCATTCAATTATTGTCTTCCGAAAAGTTTCTCCTCCTGCTCTGTTAATTCATCAGAAGAGAATCCCATTTCACAGGTCACATACAGAAATTGCCATTCCAGGCAGGCAACAATGCCAAAGCCAAAGCTTCAAATGCATTTTTAGAAGTGCCAAATTTCACTTGTTCAACATGCTCTAGTCAATGTTCTTAAAATATTGCTTTCAGTCTGAAGGAGAATTGTTCTACTCCTGTCATATGGGTAGGACTGGGAATGCCAGCTAACCGACTATACTTTTTCTCACAAACACAAAGAGAGGATAAGTACTGGTGTTCCAATTCAGATGGCTATAAATATACTATGCTTATCATTAAAATATGTTATTACAGCCTCCTTAACAAGAGCTTCAGTCATGTTTTTCTCATGTTACAGGTTGAAGATTTTCCCTATAGTAATAAAAAGAAGTTCTTTCACTTAGATTGCTGAACAGATGTAGTTATTTTTTAATACACAGTACAACTCCTCCCTTTTTGTGATACTGTAGAGAGCATCTGAGTTAAAATAAGTGGTTACATTAATAAAATCATATTGTTATTGATGTCTCTATTGCTCATCTTAACCAAGGAGATTTGGATGATACTTTACAAAAGCAAATTGCGTATCTTTCAAAAAGATACAACATAATAGCGATGGGGGAGTTTAACTGCCCCAACATCTGTTAGAAGATCAAACCATGTCAAGCATGGACCTTCCAGGAAATTTATAACTTGCTGTCAACTTTTTCCTTCATAAAGTAGAGGAAGGCACAAGAAGATCAGTTATTCTTTACTTGATAATATCCAACAAAGATATGAAAGAAGCATTGTGCAACAATGGAGTTTTTGATTTTAACAGAAACTAAACCCAAGAAAACTACATGTATGGATATGTCCATGTGATCAGGAGTCAAGCTAGACTTGAAGACAATTTTAGTTCACTATAGATGAGTATGGTCAAACACATATCAGACTTCATATTTTTGAATTCATATTCAAAATGAATTTGAATAACCTCAGAGCAATAATGAGTAGAATTCTAAGGAAAACTAAAGGAAGAGGAGGTCAAGATCAGTGGGAGTTCTTAAAAAAGGAAATACTAAAAGCACAAAAACATTCTACTGAGGAAGATGGAGGACAGATGATAAAGCCATTGTAATTACACAAAAAGCTTAATTAAGATCTGAAAACAACCCCCCCTCAAAAAAAGATCTATAAACAATGGAAACCATTTGGTAATCCTCAGAAATCTGAATGGATTTGTGAAAAACAAGGCTTGTGACACTAATCTTACTTCATTTTTTTTTGATTGGGTAACTTCCTTAGGATATTATGACAGTGAGATCTCTCTCTCTCTTTCTCCTGACAGAGTGCCCCATGACATGCTAATTAGCAAGCTAGTTAATTATGGCAATAAAGTGGATAGCTAGTTCAAAAATCACCCTAATGAGTGCTCATCAACGGTTCCTCATTAAAGTGAAGTGAAACATTAAGTGGAATGCCATAGGATTCAGTCCTGGATCCTATACTCTTCAAAGTTTTTATTAATGACCTGGATAAAAATGTGAAGACTTATCAAAATGACACCAAATCATCTAGTAGCCCTCAGTGGGAGGAGTTTGGTAGTTCTATCTCTGTGGTGCTGTGCTAAAGGAGATAATGGCAGGGGGAAGCAGGTAGGCTGTTCCAGGGGAAAGGAGATCTCCAGTTTGGTAGTAATATCCATTTCCAATCTGTCAACCCCATGTTGGGGACTGAGTGGTCTGATTATTGGTGCTATTGGCTTCAAGTACTGATGCTCAATACCAGACATGCCTGCAATAAGACCATCCTCATCCACAATTTAGTGTTGGATGAGGCAGCAGATCAGGAATACATTATCAAAACCTGGGTTGGTGATATGACAATGTTCCCATATTGGAGATTTGTCCAGCCAGATATGAGGTCCTTCAGCAGCCTCAATGCCATGGTTGGGTAGGAGATGGTCTGACCATGATGAGTATGCCATCCATGACAAGGTTACTGCTGTGGAGATACTGGGATGCTGAGATGTGAGTACCTATTTGTTACATTGGGCTCTGGAGACAAGACAGGGGTCCTGCTTGTGTACTGACTGCCCTTGTGTACTGACTGCCCTGCTCCATGGCAGCATCCCCACCCTAAGTTTCCAAAGCCGGTCCCTAGGTTGGCACCATTAATTATTAATATGTCTTTTTGTACTTATGGTTGGTGCTTCTTGCCTGGACTACCTCAAAGGACTGACAATAAGGGAGGAGAAGCCTCCCTGTCCTCCTCAGCATGATCGTTGTTTCTTCCTCCCTCCACTGGGCTTGCTGACGCTGGCCATGCCCCATGGTGTGGAACTTGCCACGGTGCAGGGGCTTTAGGCCAGCCCGGGATAGGCTTGCTGCGGCACTCTGTGGCTGTGGCAGTGGTGCTGGGGCTGAGGTAGGGCTCTGGGGGCTTCTGCAATCTCAGCCTGCTGCCACCTTTGCCCCTGGGCCTCTACTTCAGCCCCAGCACTCCACCACCACAGAGTGCCGTGGTAAGTCCCGAATGGTCACTGAATGAATGGTCACTAAGTGAGGAGTACCTGTATTCTCATGACAACCAACTGTATATCACCATCCCAGGTCACAAGGGAGATGCTGTTGATGTTCTTTCCTGGTGTCTGGAGGCAGTCAAGGTCTGGATGGGAGAGAACAGACTGAAGCTAAACCCAAGTAAGTCAGAGTTGCTGTTGTTGCCTCCAGAGTTGTTCCTTGATGGCCAAGCAGCACCCGTCAGGGAGAAGGTTCATAGTCCTTAGGGCATCCTTCTGGATTCACAGCTCCTGCTAGAACACCAGGTGGAAGTTGTCACCAGAGGGACTTAACTGGCATGCCAGTTGTGACCTTACCCTGGGCAGAAGAACCTAACTACAATACGTAACTCATTACTTCATCACCATCCAGTTAGACTACTGTAATGTACTTCCTTTGGGGCAGCACTTAAAGACTACTCAGAAACTACAATTAGCTCAAAATGCCACAGCTCATATATTTTCTGGCTCCTGGAGGCAGGAGTATATAACACTGGCTTTCCAGATCCTGCCTTGGTTGTCTATTGGTTTTTAAGTACAATTTAAGGCATTGTTTTTAACCTACAAAGCCCTTTATGACTTGGCACCTGGGCATCTGCGGGACTGCCTACCCCAACCAGTAGTGGCCTGAACAATGAGATCAACTAGGGAGAAGCTGGTATAAATCCCACAATTTCTGAAGGTCTGGGGGGCTGAAGCAAAAAGGTAGTGCTTTCATGTCACAGTGCTGACACTGTGGAACAACCTCCTGGCGGAGAATAGGTTAGTCCCTTCTTTGTCGACATTTTGGAAGTTGCTGAAGACAGGGTTGTTTCAGAGAGCCTTCCCTGATTTTATTATGCCATCTTTAATTCTCATTGTGTGTGTTTTTGTTTGGTGCTGTTTTTATTGTTGTCACTTGTGACATTTTTATGTGGTTTTACATCCTATCCTGGATGTTTTATACTGATTTACTGTATTCTATGTAAGCTGCTGAGAGTTTTGTGTAGGGGTAGAAATGTGTTTAATAAATGCATAAAATAAATAAGAATCTGGTACTCTAGAATTTAGAAATGAGTTAAGAAATAATCTGGAAGTAACAGAATGAAATTTACTAGATAGGTATAATGTTATTCATTTAGGAAACAAAAATCAAATCCACAGGTACTGAGCAGAAATATTTAGTTGGTAAAGGTACTTATAAAAACATTTTTGGATTAAAAACTGAATATGAGTCAGCAGTGTGATGTGGATGGGAAAAGGATAAATACAATTTTAGGCTACATCAACTAAGCATGGTCTCCAAGTAACAGGAAGTAATCATTCCACTTTAGTTGGATTCCATCTTGGGTACTGTGATGTTAGAAACTGTCAGCCCTTCGAGGTAGTCCAGACAAGAAGCATAAACCATGAGTACTAACACTACCTTTACTGTAAGGTTACAGTAACAGAATCTTGCAAGTCTGAAAGCATTTCTCTCCTCCTTTACTTTTACTTTCCAGGAAACTAGGGAGGGCCCCTTCTGAAACACTTTCCATGCCTCTTTTCCTTCTGTGGGTTGAAATACCTTTGGCATGACCGTTGTCTAAGCTGCGGCTCTTTCTCCTTTTTAAAATTTATTTATTTATTTACACACACACAGTGCATGTGTGTATGTATGTGTGTATACTTTTTATTAAAAACATTTTTAAAAGAATAAAAACAATACAAATTTTGAAAGAGAAAAATAAGTAAAGTAACATATACGTGAAAAAAAGTGCAAAGAAAGAAATAGAAAAGAAAAAGTTTTAAAGAAGCTGCTTCCAGTCTTAACAGCAGTCACAAGTACATATATATTTTACCCTCTCTAAGGTTACAACATAATTTCCTTCTTTCCATAATCTA